TCTTCATCAGTAAATGTTTTAAGTCCTCTTCACTTTCAGAAAGCAAGGTTGTATCATTTGCATATCGCAGGTTGTTAATGAGTCTTCCTCCATTCCTGATGCCATGTGTTTCTTCATATAACCCAGCTTCTCGGATTATTTGCTCAGCATATGGATTGAATAAGTATGGTGAAAGAATGTGAAGAATGAGTATTCCAGAACACTTAATTGTGTTCATGAGGAACCTGTACATAGACCAAGAGGCAGTTCTTAAAACAAAAAAGGGGACACTAAATAGTTAAAATCAGGGTTGTAACATTTCACCATATTATTCAATCTGTATGCTGAGGAAATAATCTGAGAAATGGATTATATGAAGAAGAATGTGGCATTAGGCAAATTTTCTGCAAAAGGCCTCTTAAAAGTATCCAAGAGCAAAGGTATCAGCTTGAGAACTAAAGTACACCTAACCCAGTCCATGGTATTTTCAATTGTCTCATATGCTTGTGATAGTTGGATAATAAATAAGGAAGACCATAGAAGAATTGATGCATTTGAATTATGGTATTGGAGAAGATTATTAAAAGTACCACGGACTACCAACAGAACAAACAAATCTGTGTTGGAAGAAGTACAGCCAGAATGCTCCTTAGAAACCAGAACGGCCAGACTTTATCTCTCATACTTCTGACATATTATAAGGAGGGACCAGTCCCTGGAATAAGGCATCATGCTTGGAAAAGTAGAGGATCAATGACAAAGAAGACTCCCAGTGAGATGGATTGACCAATGACAGCAACAATGGACTTAAATTTAACAAATGCAAAGAAGGCACAAAACCGGGCAGTGTTTGGTTCTGTTGTATATAACATTGCTATGAAACTTGACCGCACCTAACAACAACAGGTAAACAATTGTTGCTGCTGTTTTAGGTACTGCCAAGTCCTGCGACAACCTCACGATCAATGTGAGGCTTGAACCCGTTGCTGCTGCCATGTGCCAATCCATCTCATTGGGGGTCTTCTCTTTTTCACTGGCCCTCCACTTTACCAAGCATGATGTCTTCTTCCAAGAACTGATCCCTCCTGATAATATGTCTAAAGTATGAGAGATGAAGTCTGGCCATTCTGGCTTCTAAGGAGCATTCTGGCTGTATTTATTCCAACAGATTGGTTTGTTCTTTTGGCAGTCCATGGTATTTTTAATATTCTCCTGCAACACCATAACTCAAATGCATCAATTCTTCTATGGTCTTCTTTATTCATTGACCAGCTTTCACATTCATATAAGGTTATTAAAAATATCAGGACTTCTGTCATGCTTACCTGTTGGGGACCTGCCTCGACATAGGGGTTCGGTTCACGAGGAGGAGATAACTGACGGCTATTCATATATAGCAAGAATACACAGAAAGAGAGACAATGAGGCACCCCAAAGCCAGGGTGGATACATCACTGATGGGCAGGCTTGGGACTATAGGCATCGTGGCATCTGCAGGCAGCAACTCACTGCCCTGCAATCTTTACTGCATGCCCTCCAGCCCGTAATGCACTGCAATCTTTACTCCGTGCCTTCCAACCAGTAATGCACTGCAATATTTACTCCATGCCTTCCAACTAGTAATGCACACCTGGGGAGGCCCGGGCCTCTGCTTTATTTAGGGGAGGAGCTTCACACCAAGCTGGGAGGGACTTAGGCAAGGTATAGCTAACATCGGTACTTTTCCGACATTCAGGTAACTTTACATCGTACTTCACTAGTTCGAATCCCAGGCCAGCAACTTGGATTCTCAAGCCCAATTAACATATCTATAGCCCCTGAGGTCAGTTGGGGGAAGGTGAGAGTAATGGGCGGAGTCCCGCTGTTT